CTCTAAGGAGAGACTAGCTACGTCAATTTGCATTGATTCTGGCTTCTTGGAGCTAACACGAAACAAAAATAATTACTCCCTTAACTTTAGTCTAGGGTCATACAAAATAGCATGTTTTCTTTTCTACATCTTTCATTTCATGTGCCCATTCCTTTTTCTTTAGTCGAAGTTGAAGAAAAGAAATATGATAGAACATGTGAGAAGAAAAACAATGCACAACAATATTCTTCTTTACAATAAATACATGCGTTCATATAAAAGTAATACGAAAACTTGAATAAATTGAATGATAACTTATTCGTGAGTAAGTACACAGCAGTTTAATGATTTATAATGAGATCTGATTACATAATATTCTCGAAGAGAAGTTCGAGTAAAACATGATGTCTGAAAAAAGCATATCTAAACTATGCAAGACGCCTGGGAAATTATGTGCGATTGTTCTTCTAGCACGCGGGTGGTATGTTCTGAGAAATGCCATAAGTTGACTGAGGGACTTCCGCTTATTTCTAATTCATATGCACGAGAAAAAAACTTCATTTGAAGGAGCATCCGCCAGCCATACTTCCTGTATACTGACTTTGAGAAGTCAAAAGTTCATGGACGTCCGAACTTAGTTCATCATGTTCCCGAAGAAAGCATGATGGAATCAAGATGGTCTGACTGGATTTGTTTGGAGTAAAAAAGCAAGTGTAAAGTGACATCTGACTAGATTTGATTGAATACTGCACTTTTCCAATCGTTTGCAACGAATCACATATGGTTCGTGAAATACGTTTCGGAACGGCTATTGCCACTTTCTGGAAGTGGCAGCAGTAGCTATTATCACTGTGGTCACCTATTAAGGGAATCTAATCATTTACAGCAGAATTCACGATAGAGGTCCAAGCAAGATAGCGAAGGGAGAGAATGATTGGAAGAAAAGACAAATATTAGTATAAACTTAACTAAAAAATTTAAAACTTAAATTAAAAAGTAAGATATTTTAGGAATTTCTCCGTAGAATTCGTAGATAATTAATGGAAACGAATTAAATTGCACCGTTTAAGGGATATGAGTCATGGAGAATTAAGGGATGTGAGGCATATATGACAGTGGCGGATCTAGCACTACGGCGGTCCGGCGACCACCGCCCCCTCGCAAATGGAATTCTAATGGAAGTACACTACCAGACTTCCTTAGAAGAAATATCCATACTACCTCGGACGACATGGTTTAGAAATCGCCACCCCATCGGTAGAATCCTGGATCCGCTACTGATATATGAATAAGGGTCAAAACTAGGCATCCATAAATTTTATTTATAAATCTCTACTATCAACGTGAAAGTTGGAAATTTTACGGCGATAGTAGAGATTTATGGATAAAACTTATGGATGCATAGTTTTGACCATGAATAAGACAGACTGAAAATACGTAAAATTAGGAAGAAAATAGCGTTTTGAACACGAAATCTGTACTTTCATGACTACCTTGCGTTCACTAGTTAGCAGCAGTGTTTTAATGACACGGTGGGCGAGAGGGCTTTGTTGTTTGGTTGTGACTTAATCTTAAGTTAAACTTAAACATAAGCTACTTGCAAATTTTCTGAGGCACTTAGTTAAGCACGTGCCAGGCATTTTGAGATTTAATACGTGCCAAGTACTTGGAAAAATTTCGAATGCTTGCATATATTTCGCAAGTACTTACAAAATATTTGATGAAGTACTTATCTGGCACCTATATTAGTTAAATTACTTGATAAGTACCTTTTTTACTTGCAAAAATGATAGGTAGTCTGAAAATTACTTGCACAAGTAATTGTGTGAGACATCTTGTAGAGTCAACAATTTTCTACAAACTGGTAAGCGAATTTTATAACTCTCTCAAGAAAAGAAATTCAGAGTTCAAATTTTTTCTGTGGTTCTTCTATATATCTCCGATATTCAAAGAAAGTTTCAGCTTTTCGATTGGTTCCGTTCCGGAGTTATAAAACCTCTTTTTTTTCGAGTTTTCCATGGGTTTGCTGCACGCTTATGATGAAAGCCCTATAAAAAAATTCCAGTGCAGCACTGCCAGTGCGCATCGGTCACTGGCACCGGTGCGCACCCGTGCCCAGCAAGTGACGATTGGCGTCCGTGCGCACCAGTACCGATATATTTCTGCCGAAAGAGTGCCGCACTGGCAAAAATCAGTGGTGCACGGGAGCCGCAACCGCAAAAATCAGTGCCGCACTGGCAAAAATCGGTGCCGCACTGATAATTTATTTAATCAATTTAATTAGTTCTTTATTATGATTGTTTATACTGAATTTTGTATTAGAGTGCGGCACTGATCAGTACCACATCAACGTGCCAAAACTATGCGACATTGCCTCGACACTTCTCTTATGAGAAGGAAAAGATGAAGCCAGAAAGACATTCGAAATATCAGAAGCAGACTATAGCGTTAATATAGACAGAAATTGACAAAACAAAATGATGATTGAAAACAAAACTTCGGCACTGGTGCGCACCGGTGCAAGATTTTTCATTCTTTTTGGCACTAGTGCGCACCGGTGCGAGATTTTTACATTCTTTCTGGTACCGATGCGTATCGGTGCCCAGAAAAAAAATTATTCGGCACCGGTGCGCACCCGTGCACAACCAGTACCGATAAAATATTTTTTTGTAGGAAGAGCTATAAAATCGTCAGTTCTTTACAAAAACTGCTGAAAATTTCAGAGTTTTTACAACACTTTTTATGCCGTATTTCTATTTTGAAAACAAAAAAGTGCCTTCAAGTTGGTCGTGGGTTATAGGATCTCCAGAACCCGCCTTGAAACTAAGTTTCACAACACCGAAATTATATAATTTCAATTATTTAGCACGTGTACCAGTTAAAACCATCTTAGTTCTGAAATTTTCAGCTTTCTGAACTTTTGATGACTTTGAAGACCAAATAACTGGATAGGTATACAATCGAGGATCTAGCCTTTCATTTAACACATGATTGAAACTTTTTGGTTTCTTTCTCTGAACGCATGTGCTTGTGTGTAAGCAACTAGTAAAAGTGACTAAATCGATCTGTACTGGTCGTGGGACCATTATCGGATAGATTTTCGAACGAAGCACCTTTCGATGGTATTTTCATTCGAGTTGAACATACTGGATTGTCTTGAGCGCGATCAAGATCTTGTTCTTTAAATTGGCCCTGAAATGTCTCCACACTGGACACCATCTAATTGTGTCTTTCTAACAAATAAAGTCTATTCAGTTCTCCAACTGCTGATATTACTTCTCCAAATACCAGACTTTCTAACAGAAAACCGGCTTCATCTATTTCTTTTTCTTTCCACTGTTTTGGCGGTGTCGTTGCGAACAGAATATTTATTGCTCGAGGAACAATTTTTCGCCGTAATGAGTGAGCTAATTCATGTAATATCGTGATTAACAAGGCGATCCATTTTTCAATGATGTTATTATTTGTTCTCAACATCCAATGGCAACTTAAAGCAAAAAGAGAAAGTAAATAACTTGAGAGAACTGATACAACTTGAAAGCTGTTACCTCATCATCTCAATGATGTTCTGAAATATACCGCTAGGGGAACAATTAACTATTATATCGCCATTAAAACATGTCAGTGCACAATAAGACACTGAAAGAGTACCGACATATAAATGACGATTCAAAGCAACGCGTTTTTCGCATGTTCTTGATGATCGGACCGACCGACCGACCTACATTGTCTAACTAGCTCAGATTGTAGAGAATTTCAAGGTCTATCCAACAGGATAGTTTTGAAAAATATATATGAAGAAATGAAAAAGTTATCGAAAAGCGCAATTATTTTTTTTCATACAACAATCGGTTTATATGTTTTGGCATGTTTACGTATAGAAGATTTATTTCCTGATTTATCATCGGAAGAAAAACACATACGGATTGAATAATTTATTTAAACTACTATTCCATGTACTTTGTGCTTTGATCCGTTATTTCAAAATTTTTTACTCCATTGTTTATATTCATCATACAAAATAACACAATCAAAAATTTACTGAAAAAATTCGATTAAAACGTAATCTATCATTGAACCAAATATACGACAAACTATTTCATTCAAAACTCAGTCTTAAAGAACAATGTCGTATAGTCATTAAAGATCGTATTAAGTCAAATCTAAATGATGTAAAAAAATTACCTATGTTATTGTTGACATTAATTAATTACTGTACGTACGATTTTTTCTATCCGAATTATGTACAAATCGTGAATGCTAAAGTGACAAAACATGGTGGAAAAGTAATGCCTAAACCAAGAACTAATGTTAAATTTAAATTTAGCATTACTCACAATTATAAGTAATAGCGATGATAATGAGATGAATATGTATTTTATAGGCGACGATAGTGACGATGATCAGTATTAGGAAGATGAAAGGAAGCATGGACGGTAGTACTATTAATAGTGCTCAATTTAAATGTTAAGACAGTGTATTTGGCTTATTTCTCAGTTAAATCAGATTTTTGTTTTGTGTTTTTTTTCTTCTTTTGCTTAAAATTTGTTGTATTTTTGAACTATCATTTGTACATAAAAACGTGAAAATATCGTTCGACTTTTGAAAGATTTAATCTGTCGTTATTCATCAAGATACTTCTGACATATATGCATATCGTTATAACCGTAATCAAAGTACCACACCCTTTCATAAACGTAACAGTTCAAGAACTGAATCTACTTGTAGGTGATCACATTAATCACTGTGCTGGTTTTTCAACAAATTAAACGTTATTAGTCGAGAATTATCGTCTTGGACTTTGTGCCTCTATATTTTCGTCTACAGTAGTCAAGGATTTTATCTGGGTTCGAGAGGAAAATCCTAAAAGTGTCTCTAAAACTTTGGACCTCGGGAAAACCATGTTCCACATGTTTTTTTGGAAAACAAGCCTAATGTTCTACGGCTAACATTTTATGCTCTATACGATAGCGATATTGAGATCTTCGCAGCCGTCGTCACCTAATGGCGGGCGGACCTGAATGGAAGTACTCGACTGTAAGTCGAATGAATATACCGTTGGGAATATTATTCATTTTATGGTATAGATACCATTAATAGGTGCTGTTATAATAGTGTTTTTACTAAAATTTTGATACGCTCTCATCGTAAAAAATATCGCTCAATTCTGTAGTAAGAAGACCGAGTTACAATAAAATGAATAATATTCCCAACAGTATATTCATTCGACTTACAGTCATATACTATATAAATACGTCATTCAGTCTTCTTGAATTTGTATTTTGCGAATATTGTCTTCCCACTAGCCGATTGAGTCATGCTGCTCAAAATCACACTAGCATCTGTGTGTTTGTATGTCCATAACACAATGTTCAAACGTCTGTGTGTACGGACGTCCGTCACACTGATGTTTTGCGGCGGTAGGCAGCGTCATCTATCAATCTGGCTTTCTATTGGATGGCTGCTTAATCAATAGATGGTTTATGGACGGCCCGGCATTTAACGGTTGCAAGACTCTCCCTCCGGTGGAGAGAATTTTGTGCGAACCTAGACGATAAGTCAAGGGAATATATAAACAGATACATAAAGTCCGAAAATTTGCAAAAACCATCTCTGGTATGTTTACTTCCGACAAATTAGATATCAAGAAGAAGGTTGCTTTATTCCAACTTGATCGTTTCCGTTTCTAGGAAAACGTTTTTTATCGTTTTCTAAGAAGGAATGTATCATACTAATGAATAAAGCAATTAACAAATGTAGACAGAAAAATCAAGTTAACATAACTAGTAATCTGTTCACCTTCAAAATTTGGTTCTAGAGATGATTTAGACAGAAAGATTTGATACGAATGCTTTATATATTATAAAGCAGTCCGCTCTAAAATAACTTGCACCACTACCACTCCACACGTACACTGAATGCTGGATTCCTAGGTGATTTATCATTTAATGATTGTTATTGAGTTTTACTTTTGCTCTAGATGGCTCATTTGCAGACAACGTTTTTAACTCATGCACAACGAGTTTGCCGGTTGTATAAAGGAGCGATAAAGTTAATGCGTCTTAAAAATTGGCCAAACAGGCAAGGATACAAATAATATTTTTTTAAGAAAGGAGAAAATTTTGTGCGGTTCTCATTCTAGAATTGATTATCGTTACGACTGTGTTATCACTCGAGCAAGATTTGATGCGAACAAAAATATTCAAGATATGATGAAAGCAAAACGCTTACTGATAGCTGGTGAAGAAGAATTTCAGTATGAAATGTCGTGGTTTCCTGAACCTTGGAATTGTTCGTTTTCTTTAAATGATATTGAAAAAATTCATATATTACCTCTTGTTTTCTTTCCTTTTTTTTCTAGTTGCTGAATCGCCAGGCGGTATTGCAGAAGGACGAAATCCTCCTCCAAACGATATGGTGTGTAACTTGTAACTTTTTACGGCTTCATATGGCACATGATACGCTCGTACCTTAAGTAATGGTCTAAATTGAAGGCGTGCTAGTGCGAATAAGATGCAATTAACAACTAGTATAAATTGAAGCAAAATTTGATCCGAAGAATTTTCAGGAAATCTTTATATTAACTGTTTTGAGTTCTCGGTTAGAGACCTACACGGGTTTAGAAAACGTAACCCGACCCGACAACAACTTGATCCGACCCGATAAATTTTTACTCTTTTGTTTTGTTCTTAAGTTTATGTCTTTTTATTTACCTATTTGTTTAGCGAAGGGCATCGCATTATAGGCGAGTGACCTTTTGCTAATAGTCTGCTAATATTACAGAAAATTTGAGCGTTATATCTTTCTAAATTCGGTTGTTATTGAACTTTGCTTCTTGAATGAGAACAGTGTTTTCCAAAAACAAGTGAACATCCTAAAAATGACCAGGACAACTCTATCGTTTTTCTTTTGAGATAATTAATCGTCACATGATATCCTGCATAGTGAACATATATTGTAGTGCTTGATGCGATAAAAAACTAAAGCAGAAGGTCTGATAGGTGAATGAAGCAGCTGATATGATAATATGAATAATATTCCGTAGAAGAACATTATCTTTCTGAAAAAAATCGACCCTCCAATCTTCCCGCAAGGGTTCTCTAGTTTTCCTTTGTCTTACAAACGGGAAAGCCCGCACATGACAAAGCTAATTATCTTCTTTGTTTTCTTCCCGTACCAGAATGTTTTCAGCAGAAAAAATTCACGCAATATCACCTCTGATAAAAAAGAAATGTTATCATTGAAAATTGTGCGGTTTGGAAAAACATTGTTTTCCTTCAAGAAGAAAAGTTCAATAACAACCAAATTTAGAAAGACATAACGTTCAAATTTTCTGTAATATTAGCAGACTATTAGCAAAAGTACAAAAGAAAATTTCATCTCTTAATTCTTTGTTTTGACTGGGTTACAGAATTATTACTGTTACTACACACAGTATTCCTTTAGAACAAAAAATTGCATAACTTTTGAAAGAACTGATATGGGTCGTCCTTTAAGGGTTTTTATCAACTCACTTTCCCCTACTAACTAACATAATATCATTAAAAATGGAGTTGGGCATCTGAAGACATTGTCTCGTTAGTGAATGCAGTTGTTCTGAAATAAGTATTTCAACTGAAAATTCCAGTAGAGTTAACTTTTCAACGAGTAATACAAAAATGAAATTATCATCTATATTTTAAATAGTGCCGCAAAATGTTCAACCCGACGCGACAGCGTCTTAACCCGAAACGTTCGGTTGCAGGTCTCTAATCTTGGTATAGAAGCAATTTCCTTTTCTACGTTGAAACTTTTTAAATGTTCTTCAGTTTAACTTACAATTCAATTATGAATACGCACAAATTTAAATAAATATTTTTCTTTTAGGCTATGGATGCTTGGCATCCACTAGAAAAAGCACAGTATCCACATTATTTTGAAAAGCGAATGAAAAGAAAAAAAGCATACATGGATTGGTATCTGAAGAAATATGGTGTACCTGAGCCACCAATGTTATAAGACAATATAGCACAAAAAGTTATGACTTTTAGTTGAAACAAATGTTAGAAAAATTTGAATCAGCTGATTGTATTCTCTGACCATGTCTTTTTGTAATTTATTTCCTAGTAACTTGCTTTTTTTTCTTCTACTATTTTTTCTCGTAGCGATTTAGTAAAGAAATCTATAGAAAAAAATAATTGCATTAAAAGTTTTCAACTGTCTTCTTCTTCAACAGTCAAGCAATTGATCTTAACGAAGAGTACTTTTATGATCTACTGAAGCGTATTTTAAATCCTGTATTGTTTATGATTAGTCACTTGTTGGAATTTGTTCTTAGTAACACAATCTCCTTTAATTGTCTGAACAGAACTGTGCATCTAGCATATTGATTAACGCAAAAAGAAAATTTATCGGCACTTACTATGTACCGGTGCGCACCCGTGCCGGTATAAAGTATATTTCACACTTTACTTTTAGGCACCAGTGTCAGCCAGTGACCCACGACATGACGTGTGTATATAGGTAGTGCCACATTAAAAGTTTCTGATAGGTGAGATCGCTAAAAAGCGGAAACGCGGCGTTACTATCCAAGTCTAAAAATCAATCATAAGGATTAGTTGATCTGATAATCATTGTATGGCAACAATTCCGTGGCATTGATCTGGATGGATAATACAGCTATTACAGTTTTATCGGCTTTATTGTATAGGGGTCATGGAATGAAATTTGATTAGTCGCCTACATACGGTTAGTACATGTATCAGGAGAATGGACTTTGGCATTTAAATTTACTCGATTAAAGTGGATATAGTAATATTACTAGTATATATATACAGTCGACAAATCATAAGTTCAAGTTCTACTCAGATAATACTGCACCTCGTAGTTTTCTGTTTTGCGGACGGGGCCAGAAAATCACCCTGTACCTCGTGTTTTACTGCCCATATTGTTGAGTAAACTGCACTTAAGGTTTACAAATGCCGTTTATTTAATCTAAATATATTCAAGCCAAAACTTCAGAGTTTTCTCGTAGCTTTTGATTGATTTATTAACTGATAAGTAATTTAGGTAGATATTCGTACTGTTACCTCAGACAACTTTCTCTCTATTGGTCTTGCATTATTATTAATAATGCACACAGTTCTCATTTTCTATTTTAGAAAAAATGAACTCTTGTCGACGTATCGCTGCATTTAGTTTATTTCAAACAACAACTTGAATGATTAACAGTGATCGGTTGTTATTTGAAAATTGTACTAATCATGGAATTGAGTATATGAAAAGTACTCGTTTCTATTTGTCATTAATCGTTTTCTATCTTAAAAGAGGTAAAAACCTAGTGAAACTAACTAATTTCAACAGTAGCAAAGGTCACCATCATAATAGACATAGAACTGAATATGTTGTGAAAATGGTAAGAATAAATATGATAAGTTAATAGAGAATAAGCAGAAAGAGACTAATGAAATAATCCATCTTATAACAAGACAGTCGCATGATGATATCGAAGATACAGTTATTAGATTGCACTATTAAATTTGCTAAAGCAACAGTAATTCAGTTAGAGTTTCTGTACTGACCATTCAATTGTATCAAACTACTCGTTTACTAAATAGAAAAACTTTTTTCTCTTTTTATACCTTAAACTTTTGTCGTAAAAAAATCTTTTCTGAAAACGGTTTTGATAAAAAGCGAAATTTATTTTGTTTGGGTGTACTATAACGTTATCAGAAAAACGTATTCATCATTGCTTATTGATGATTTGACTGCAATATCGGTGTGCCCTATTCAGATGAAGAAAAAGAATATAGACTATTGGCTGACAATTTGAATAACAAAAACTAATTCAAATCTTATTGAACGATATCGTAACTGGAATCATACGTAATCAGCAAAGATCGCCAATTGATATTGAGTTATTATTGAATGATATAGCTGAATAGATGGAGTTCATTAGAATGAAAAGAAATAACAATAAGCGTTTACTAGAAGATAATTATAATGAGAAGATTGCACCAGATATTTCCAAAAAGTCGAATCAAGTTCGATATGAAACGATATTTTGATCGATGACGAGAATAGTAGTTCATCATTGACAGAAATATCTCTAGGAGAAATTCATTTGAATGATGAGCCGACATTGTTTGTACAAAAGACAATTGAATCAAATAGACTCAAAACACGTTATACACCATATAATCGATTTTTACCTCACCTTGGCTAAGATTTATGTTTAGAACGTGTTAAAAATGACAGACAAGATAGAATGTAAGTTGCAAAATATGCCTCTAACTAAATTTACTGTAAACTACTTTTTTCAGAACATGTACTCTTCCATCTCGTCTTCATCCGCAATAAATCGACATACTGGCAAAGTACAATCAGTCATTGAATCCAACATGTTTACATATGTCAAATATTGTCAATTTAATACGAATTTCTGTTATATTATGGAAAATCATTATTGTACACTCCATTCAATTCTAAAGAGTGATAGTGTAACTTCATTTAAAAAATATCAATGTACCTACTATACATTTAAAACATTTATTACAATTGAAATGGCATTTTGAACATCGGCATGATCGTCAGATTTTGTGTGCATCATAATTAGATCAATATACATGTTTATTTTGTCTGTATGGAGCAATTAATAAAGATCGACTGATAAAACATGAAAATTGTTGTGAGAAGAAATTAATGAGTAGTAGTAATATTTTAAATAAAAATTTAGCATCAATAGCCACGCAAAATAGAAGGTTAATAGAAAAAAAACGGTAATAATTTTTAAGCAAAATTTTAAGCAAAATTTGTTATGGTTGTGTATGTGTGTGTTTATTCATTTTAGATTCAGAACAAATTCATTTTAAAAACACAGGAACGATGTAATCGAAACAGTTATTTTGGAAAGTAACAGCGCGAGACACGATTGTATCGATAGTATCTAGGAATAAATCCAGATGAAGATATTTTAGAAATAGAATAGTGATCGAGAGAAGTATCAGGTATATAAATAATATATCTGTATTCTAAAACCAAGGGGGAAAAGCGGATTCGGGGGTATTCTAAGTATTGGAAATATTTGCGAATATCAGAGAATACCCCTGAATAGGTTAGAATCGTCTAGTCATATAGAATCGACTATTCTGATCACGAATATCGCCTTTAAGCTTTTCAAAGTGGAAAGATGGCTCAGAAAAAAACGTTTACGGAACTTGGTCCTTCGGTGAAAAAGAGGTTTTCCAAGCTCTAGCGTCCACTGTTCGTATGGAAAATATATCAAAAGCACCTCTGTAGATTCAGGAGATGATGCTGTATCGAGTGATTTCGAAATCGAATTTTCAACAAACTGTTTTCTGCTAGCAAGCTTAGGAATACCGCCAAAACGCCAAAAAATCGGTGTTTGAGGCCTCCCGTTGGACCCGAAGCCAAGTCGATCGGAGCTTGAGACTTTGCCACAATATGCAACTATTCTCGCTCTTTTCGATAGCAATGTCAAAAGAAACATAAAAGTTGCAGAACAGATCTCTAGAAGGCCTCCAGAAAACCTTTTCAAGATTCTCAAGAACATTGCGCAAACTAAATTTATCATCATGATCAGCATATTTTATTACCGATTTAGAAAACTGTCTGATGAATGTTAAGGTCAATGTCTCGTTGCGAAATATAATTTACGAAAAATGAGTTTTTTTTTGCATGAAAAGTTACATTATTTTTCGTGACCGTCAGCATACCTCAAAAATTTTCGAACACGGCTGAAAATAGGTAATAAAATATGCTG